TCACCCAGTGGCTGTGTTGGGAAAAGCAGTCTGCATTCTTCTTCAGAACCGCAGGGAATGAGCCACTCTAGATAAGACGTTAAATACCCTTTCTAGGTGCCATACTTGGCTTTCTGCCTGTTACTTCCTCGTCCATAGATTAGAGGTAATTACACTTACCTCACAGGCCGCACGGCTTTTTAACATGCGTCTCAAATGATGCCTCCGTGAGCGGCAGGACAATGGTGGTGTTATTATGCAATTTGCTGCCTCCTTAAGAGCTCGCCGAACACAATTCAGCTTTTGAGATGACTCAGACCTATTAGTGGGTCAGCCGAGAGCAGCCTAATTACTCAGCTCCGTGTTAGGTGCGAACCCCCATGGAGCAGAGGCGTGTGTAGACAAGCTACCCTGCAAGCCTGCGAGGCTTTCGAAGAGGTGAGCACACCCTGGGACCGACAGTAACTTACTGAATGCTTCCTCTGTTGCGATTCCAGGGTGTCTGTGGGGGGCTGTCACCAGTGAATGAGTCTAAGGGCAAGTGCAGCGTAACGGAGGGTCTGCAGCTGGTGGCTCATGTGAACATCGAGGTCACAGAGGACTTCCTGGGGCGGGGGCCTGGCCGGGGGCACAGCGGCAGGGTGCCCTCCGACCCTGTGGGAACGGGGCTGGCTGGGTGGTGCAGCCCAACCCTACCCAGACCAGGGAAACACCCCAACCCGAGTGTCCTCACCTGCCCAGGTCGGCACGACGCCCGGTAAAGCCCTCTGTGTGCCCCACCAACCCCCAACCTCCCCCCAACACCACGAGGTTTCTTCCAGTTCTAAGTCCTGTGAGTCTATTACTGAGCCCCACTTCATAGGGGAGGGAGGAAAGCAGCCAGCAGGGAAGAGATGATCGTAAGGAAGACATCACATGGGTGAGTGCTACGTGACACGGTAAATCCAGAGGGACCAGTGGTACAATAACAGCCGCACTCACGGACAGAAGACCTTGCAGAACACACAGGGCGGTGCTTTGACACCCGGCCCTGGGCAAGGCCGCCCACATACCCTCCTCTGGTCACAACCCTGTGGACGAAGCAGGGGTTCCAGGGAAAGGAACCCCACAGGCTGATCCAGTGACGGATCCCTACTGGGTGGGTCGCAGTGGGTATGACTCCCCAGGCCCAGAACTTTTTAGCAGGAAGTTTGTCTTTTGTCCACTGTTCTGTCCTGCAGGCCCACACGCCCGGGGATAAGCTGTGACCGCCCTGAGGAAGCACATATGCTGGTCACTTCTACAGTCCAAGCCCACCTGGCCCCCCGCCTCCTGTAAGCGGCCGTGTTCCCTCCTCACCCGCACGCGGAAGGGGCTGTGGACTGCCCACCCGGAGCACCGGAGCCTTGCGCCCTAGCAGGTCATCCGTTTGGCTCAAATAACCTCATAAAACCCCCTCCAGGCTTGGCGGTCCCTCCGTCCACAGCACTGGATTCGCCGTGGGCACCACTCCCCCGACCCCCGACCCCCGGTCCCTATGGTTTGGGGGGATGAGCCCACCTTTCGCACCAGAGGTGGGCAGAGCTGCAGGCCTGGCCAATCGCAGCTCCCACCTTCCTGGCCACAGGGTCAGGCTCCTGATGGACACACGGCCTCCGCCGGGACAGTCAGAGGGAATGAGGCCCTAACATGGGGCTTCTGCGGGAGCTGCCGGAAGGGTTGCTGAGGCCAGAATGCAGACGAGAGCTGACAGCCCCGTCACTGTCACCTGCGTGGGAAAGGCGCCCACAGAGCACAGCGGAGCGCAGGTGAGCGCCCCCCATCACACCTTCGCCAGCTCTGCCCCCAGGGATGCCCCGTCCCAGCTGCCCCCTCTGCTTGGGCCAGTTTGCAGTCTGGGCTGCAACCGAAACTCTAATCCGCTCCCTCGGTTTCCAGTGAAGAGCCCCCCGCCGTCCCCCCGCCCCCGAAAGCACGATTTGCCCACACCTTTCCCTGCACTGATTCTCCAGCGAAGCCCTGGGTCCAAACCTCTAGAGCCGCCGCCCCACGAACTGAGAGACCAGAGCGCTCCTCCCACGAGAAAGCCATCATCCAGCAAAACTGCCCACAGGTAGTTCCGTCATTTTGCAAAAATACAGTAACTAGCTGTGGTTATAAGAAATTCAGACATGTTCTGTGCACCATGATCGCCTCGTTCCGATTAAAGACACTCTAACCTGGC